TTTTATAAAAAAAAGTTCACGCAAGTCTATTTGACCAAGTTTATTCCTCAGCCAAAAATTCCATCCGAAAGAAAAAAAAATAAATTATAAGAAAAATTAGAAGAGTATTAATATGTGTTAATTTATTGAATGATAACAATAAAATTGATATATAAATGAACGGATAACAAATGATAATAAGATCTATAACGATATATTAAACAACAATAACATTTGATTATAGTGGTATTGAATATAAGAATATTAATAAATGGAAAATGTCGATCGGGATGCATGTGATATAAGGGGTATGATGATGAGTAATACTAACCCGATGACAAATGATAATGACATCCAGTAATATTTAAAAGAGCAAAATGATGATGATATATGACAAGAAAGATACATAAGGAAAAGAAATAAATAACAACAATATTTTGACTGCCATATTAATACGATTCTAAACTATGAAAAGAAGAAACTTTTAAATATAAATAAACAGGAAATTATTTTAAATAAAAAAATAATTCTAAAGAAAATCAATAATAGTTTGAATTCGCGCAACAAATATAAAGAACAATGGAAAAAAAAAAATGAGAAGAGAGAAAGATTTAAATGCGCGTCCCCGTCGTCTCGGGATTCGAACCGCCGAGATCTCTCGATTTATTTTTAAATAGTCAGCCATGGTAAACCACAAACAACCACAAGAACGTTACGTTTAAAAAAAAAAAACTTTGAAAATTTAACCAATTTAATGAAACCTATTTAGTTATTATATAATCCCCCCCCCTCTCCTCTCTCTCTCTCTTTCTCTCTCTCTCTCTCTCGCTCTCTCGCCAGCTCTCTCTCTCTCTCTCTCTCTCCTCTCTCTCTCCGTCTCTCTCTCTCTCTTCTCTCTTCTCTCTCTCCTCTCTCTCTCTCTGCTCTCTCTCTCTCCTCTCTTCTCTTCTCTCTCTCTCTCTCTGTATTTTTTTTGTTATGCTAATAATTCTATTGTATGAATGCTATGAAAGCTGTTTCTCGTTTATGAGATTATAAATAGGAATGGTCGAATTTAAGTAACTAAATGATCACAAAAAAGGGAGAGTCAATATTTATTTTTTATAAGCGAGCGTAAATGGTGAAATATATCACAGAAGAAAAAGGGAAAAAAAATTTACCTGAACTCTGGCCTTCAGAGTTTCCAGCATTACCAAAGAATAAAACACGACAATAATAATAAGATATTTTTTGAGAAAAAAAAAGTGATTGATCACGATGATAATGACAGCACCGATAACAATATCAATATTCCGATATCAATGATAGTAATGATAAGAAATGTTGCACTGATAATGCCAACAATAACAGCAATTTGTTATCGTAATAAAGGCATAATGATAATATTGATATTAAGTGTAAGGATATTCCACATTACTTATAATGATGATGATATTAACAAGTAATAGTAATAAAATAATTGCTAATAGCAATACCAATATGATAATGATTATAATGGTAAAGATAGCAGTGATACAAATGATGATGATAATGATGATGATAACATAAATAATGATACCAATTATAATTCCAGTGTGATATTGATAATAATAGTAATAATAATAGTAATAATAGTGTGACATATTTGGGACTTCAGTCAATTTACTTAAAATTGGAGTGATGAAAAAAAATATATCAGACAGTATATTTTCCCTTTGGATGTCGCATTTATAAAGTACAACAGTTTGCAACTTTATTCAAGAGGAAAATGATCAAAAAGGGACAAAGTCACACGAGAGTCTATTTTGAGACTAAATGTATATTTCTCAGGCCAAAGATGTCATCCTGGAGAAAAATGAGGTTAACACGACCATGCTGAATGGTAATGATAATGATAATTACAATAGTAAGACAATAGGAAATATAATGGAATAAGTATACATAAAACAATAATAATGAAAAGGTATTGACAGTGGTATTAATAATGATGATATTAATAACATAAAATTGGCTATCATGATTTATGGGATATTTGGACCCCCGTCCCCCCTCCCCCTCCCTCTCCCCCAACACTCCAAAAACGCATCTGTACGTAATTCAAAGATTTCTTGAGAATGACTGTAAAAACTACAAGAACCATATTGAACTGATCATATAGTAGGTCTATACTGGGATTAATAGATTAGCTTAGTGATAGCGATATTATGACTGTGACACTTCACTAAAGAGAAATTAGATTCGCAACTTTTTATTGATTAAGTTCTCACAGTATTCCCGAGTAAGTTGCATAATATATGTAAATGATTTTGATTCTTTTATTTACTTTTTTGTGATAACTGCACACCAAATTATACAATCATAAAAGATATAAAT